AGTACTTTTGGAGTACTCAAATCACTTTCCATAAGGAGACCCATTTACAAGCCAAATGATACATGACTCTGGTATATGGACAGAGCAAGGCTTTGAGAAAAGTTGTAGAGAAAAAGAAAAACCAAGACAAAATGTGACTCATATGGCTTTCAAGAAAGCTCCCATACATTTCTGAATCGTAAAATTAACCAACTATAATAAGCCTATAAAGAAACCAGTTCATTTTAAAGCTTAAAAGGCATTATCCAGACAGTATAAGGTAACCAGGGGCTTCAGAACAGCAGTCAATATTTTAAGAAAAAAAAATTCATTGCCTGTGGAGCTGTGAAGGCTAGACAGTGGCTGCTCTTACTACACAACATGGTGCTTGGCATTCATTTTAGATGTTTCCAGTTGAATGTGAAAAGTCTTGTGGTTATTTTGGGTAATAAAATAAAAACCAGACTTTTCTCAAAGCCATGGAGAGTTATTTTATGTGAACTCTGCCACTGCCAAGTATAAACACTGATGTGGTCTATGGGTTTCTAAAGTCTCCTCCACCCAGAAACCTGCCAAGATGCAAATCTCAAGCAAGGACACCTACTGTTTTCAGTACAAACACAGAATTACATCAACGGTGGAAAAGCTCACCTCCAGTTCATTCAGGCGCTGAATTCGTGGAGTGAAACGAAAACTTTGTACTTCACATGCAAATGGAGGCTGCCAGTCCTGAACAGAGACAGAAAAAACATTTTATTGCTTCAATAAATTTCTCAAAAAATGCAGAAAACAGAATGCCCTAACAATGTCTGAGTAAACAAGGTCCCAACAGTAAATGAGATTCTCAGGACAACTGGTGACATCACTTTCCAACTTTATGACACTTCTGTGCTTTTAAAATAAGGTTCTTCCCACAATATTTTAGTTTGGAGATCCTCACAGAATTAAAAATATAGAAGAAAATAAGGTTCAAAGCATTTCAGCATGCATTACCTTATACTGAGTTTAAATGTGAGAGCTATCCTGTAGCTTGTTGGCTATTTATTTGCTGGTTAAAAAGTTCTATATATCCTGCACGTTGCAAAATTCTCACCATCAACAGTGACAAAGACTAAATAAAGTAGATTATTACATATCTAACTTTCTTCATGTTCGCCTACAGTCATTTCAATAAAGATAAGACTAACAGTCAGGCATCCAATTTTTTTAACAGAAAGGCAGCCTTAAATAACACCTTTATCAAAACAGTCAGCAGTCGGTTCAACCACAAGTGCCTCCTAGCCCCTTCTTTCAAAGCGACAACAAAACAAGTATAATTCAGCATTTCGGCACTTTTTAAGAAAGCTGAAGTTATAGTAGATTGTCTCCCTGGCAGTAAATACAAGAGTAAGGACACCCCATTCCAGGTGGACAAGCCACACTAAGTATCTATTATTTGCACTGCTGCAGCATATAAAGGCCTCAAGCACAATTGTAAAATATTTACAGGTTCTAATAATGGAAAAGAAAAATAAATCATTAAGGTTAGTATAAAGCACCTGATTTAGTCCTTATTGCAGGTTGCAAATCAACCTGACACACACATCCTGCAAAGCCCTGCAATGCAAACAGCTAAGCAATCGTAGAGAAATACAAATGCGTTAACAGCCAGGAAAGTTCTAGTTACTCTCAACAAACAGGACCTGGATCAGTTTCTTGCAGCCTCTCAACCTAAGCCATTCTGCTTATTTTAGAAAGGGCAGCCCCTTGGAGGTCAAGTTTTCACCATGTCATTAAACCAACTAAACAGATTCCAGCAACCCAGACAGGTCAGGAGGAGAGAATGGATCGTGAAATCTAATCAGCAACCCCCGTATCCAAGTTGTTCTCAGTTACACACTTTCTTTTGGGGTTTTTTCATCCCCTCTCCCAGTATTTTCAAGTCTTTTATTTTATGACTACATCTAAAGTTTATTTGTGCTTTAATTACGAAGTCACCGAGCCACCTTTTTGCCAAACTGCCTGATGTTCTCGTCTAAGCAGTTTACCAAGTCACAGGGCAAGTCGTGATAAAATAACAATCAAGCCAGCGGAGAGATTAAGCTTCTACCTTCTAAACTAATACGTATAACTCCCCTGCACAAACGGGTTGCCTGCACTTCTATTAAAAGTTTAAAGATTACATTTATAAACAACGATCTGCTGCAGAGAAACACCCTTCCTCCTCCCTCCCTATCGCCGCTCCCGGAGAAAACGCCTGATTTCACCTACAGTGCCTTCGCAGTTTTCATGAACAGGCTGTTGGGTTGTTTTGGTTTTCTTTTTTTTTTTTAAAGTAAAAAGAGCGTGAAGTCCCGGACGCCGCCACGCACTACCAGCTTCTCACCTGCTCCACAGCAACCCCTAGAAGGCCCCGCTCTGAGATCACAAATTACACAGGCTCCTCGGAGACCCTGGCACGGCCAGCAAGGCCTAGGGAAAGCGACACACGAAACCCCAAACGGAAGGGGGGGGGGGGGGAGGAGAAGAGAAAAATGGGGTCCCCACATCCCCCGCTCTGCCCCCGAGACCCCGGGCCGGCTCAGACCTGCCGGCACACGGCGACCAGCCGGCGCCGCACCCCCCCCCCCCCCCGCCTTGCCCTGCCCCCCCCCCCCGCCCGAGCGGTACCTTGGGGGGCCGGATCTTGCAGATGCCGGTTTTCTCGGCCAGGCCGCGGATGCGGCCGATGAAGCCGAGTGGGTCACTGAACTCCTCCCAGCTGGGCTCGAACACGGGGCACTCGGGCGGGGGCACGAACTCGGCCGCGTAGCGCGACCCGCCGCCCCCCGACATGGCCGCGGGGGCGGGGGGAGGGGGAGCGCACGGAGGGCCGCGGCGGGGCAGGGCGGGGAGGGGCGGCCGGGGGGGGGGGGGGGGGGCTCAGGGGCGGCCGAGGCGCATCCTCCGGCGGCGGCCGGCGGGGCGGGGGCAGCTCCTGCCCAAGTGTCGCCGTCCCGTCCCCCGGGACCGCCGTCCCCCCTCGCCAAGCCCCACTCGCTCGCCTTCCAGCTCGCCGGAAGTTACGCGTGTCTTCCCCCCTCCCCTCCCGTCCTCCTCCCCCTCCTCCCCCTCCTCGCACTCAGCCCTCCCCGGAAGTGGGAAGCGCTGTTGCCTTCCGAGCCAAAAAGTAGTCCCCCTCCTTCGCTGCTCTTCTGGCGCGGCGGCGCCGAGGAGCCGGCCGCCTCCCGGGCCCCCCCGGGCCCCCCCCGCTCCCCCGCAGACCCTGCAGCGACACTGACGCCCCTCAGGCCACGCTGCGGCGCGGCTGGGGGAGGAATGGGGTGGGGGAAGGGGGACGAGGAGGGCGGGGCCGCCTGGACTTCCGTCGCGGAGGAATGTGCGACGAAACTCGAGACATTCACTTCCGGTGCTGAAGAGCCGTTTCGCTCATTGTCTGAGCCCGACGTCAGGGGAAGGGCCGGGAGCCACGCCCCCCCTCTTCAGGCCACGCCCCATCCCGCGCGCCACACCTCCCCGTAGGCCACGCCCCCTCCGCAGGCCCCTGCTGGTCTCCCCACACAGACTGTTTTCTTTCCAAAGTCAGTTATTCACAAGTTGGGACTCACTCCCGACCTCTTTTACCTCTCCATTACAATCTAGCCTTCCAAAAAGAACCGTGTGTTGTGTTTTAAACAAAAACCTGCCTTCAGTGTTCACCACGCTCCACATCTCATTCTTACTGTCTATTCCAGCCTCCATCCTGGTGGACTATTTAAGTCCCAGAAAAAAGTTCATTTCCTCCTCCCGTTACCATGAGGCTTGCGAGATCTGCTTCAGACACATAACATCTACCTGCATCGCCTCCCCGCTAGATGGAAGAGGTGTCGCCCACATTTTACGTGCAGGAAACAAATGGCTCCAATGCAACTGGTTAATTTTGACAAAAGTTGTAGGTAAGAGCAAACTTACCTTGTAACACATTGCGTGAATTTCCCAGTGGTTATTGTGTTGTTGCAATGTCTTCCTGTATTTTGCAGAGGGTTCTTGACTTGGATGCCTCATACTTTTATGACTGTAAAAGCAGGTGGAATGCAGATGTCTGCTTTCCAGTATCTATAAATGATATTTATACATACTTCTGCTGTTATTTTTTTATTTGGTTAGATCTCTCTTCTGATGAGCTGTATCTGATTCTTCTGAAGAAATGTATGCGTATATATATATACATGCATATGCATATTCTATTCACAGCAGCAAAATCATCAATGTACCCACTTCCCCAAGATAAGCACTGATTAAGCCAGGAGTACTGGGGGGGGGGAAATCTCCATGCCAGAAAGCACCCGATGCATGCAAAAGCTTTGTTTTGAGGACCAGCTTTTTGCTGATTTCCCTCTGGACTGTTCAGGGTCGTTTCGGGTTTGCGTGTTTGGGTGTGGGAGGGCGCTGCTGGGAAGGGCGCAGGTCTTCCTAATAGAGGAAAAAGCTTGAAATCCCAAACAACCTGTGAGGGGGCAGTTTCTTCATTTTACCGATCCTGCGAGATTTCCGTTTTGAAATAGATTTTTGTGCTTTTCTCCGTCACCCCCTCCGTTTTGGGGGCTGTTGGCCTCTGGGACACTGGGCCACGCTGGGACTTGTGTACCCCACGTCAGTCTTTATTCCTCTTGGTCACCTGGCAGTATTTACCACTGCCCTGAGAGAAGGCTTCAGCCCCGCGTACAACAGATTCAGCTGCTTTTTGACAACCATGTTTTTTCCCAAAATTACCGCCCCCCCCCCGCCGCTCCCCGGCCCTTTACCGCCGACGGTGGGTAAGCGGCCACAGGGGCGCTCGTCGCCCCTCCCACCGCTCTCCGCCCCCGCCCACCTCTGCCGGCCGCGCAAGCGCAGTGGCTCTACCCCGCCTGCGCCCCCCCGACCCGCCGGCGACCCAAGGACTACAACTCCCAGGCGCGCCGGCGCGGGAGCCCGGCCGCCCTTGTCGCGAGCGCTGATTGGTAGAGACGGTCGGCCCCGCATTGAAGGCTGCCTGTGATTGGAGGAGGCGGTGGGCGGTAGGTTGTGTGGCCGTTTAAGTTGTGGAGGGTCAGGCGTGGCGCTTATTTGGCCGTTGGGTGTCTCTGACGGTAGTGGGTTGTGTGGTGGCGGTGGTAACGTGGACAGCTTCCCCCGCTATACCCAGGGGATTTTCAGCGGGGCCTGTAACGCGCTCTCAGCTCGTGTTTCCCCGGCTGAGCCCCGGTTCGAAGCCTCTGCCCCTTCTCCAGGGGCGCCATGAGCGCGGCGGGCGGCTCTGGCGGGACCTCCCCTCGCTCCAGAAGGTAGTGTGGGGGGCTGGCTCCGCGGGCTCTGGCTCCGGACCCTTCCCTGACTGTCCGATAGCCACGCTTACCGTAAGGCACCGTTTGTCCGCTCTTGTACCTGCTGTGCTTCCTTATATTTACGCCTTCCTATTTCTACTAGTCTTTAGCTCAAAGTATTCGCCGTGTGTCTGTGTTACTTGTTCTGTTGCCATTACTTGTTTATCTAAGTGTGTTGTTCAAGACGTTTTTGGGCACAACTGGTGGAAGAATTCCTCCATGAAATAATCATATTATTGCGCATTTAATAATTTGCTAGGAATTGAGGAGCTTGGCACGTTCTCGTGGATGTAGCACATCGGGGTTCTGATCTAGGCAGCTTTGGTGACTAGGTCCATAAAGGACCCCACTGCCTTAGTGTTACTTGCCAGATCACTTTATGATCAGTAGTTCTCATAATGGCTTCAGAATGAGGTTCTGGACTGGTTTTGTTAAGCAGGTCTTCAGTAAAGAGGCTTTTTAGCTTTAGTTCTGTTACTTGTGGTATCATTTAAAAAAAAAAAAAAAGCGTCAGATCAATATAAACAACAAAAAGAACAGTTTCCAAGAGAATTTTGAATGGTGTGCAGCTCTACTTGCAAATTTAATGCTTGAGCAGATTAAATCTGCATGCAGTAAACATTGCTTAAAGGAAAAATCAGACATGTAATTAGATGTACGTATTCTTGATTTCTGTAAAATTTACATGCTTTCAATCTAGTACATCAACATAAGAGTCAAGAACTTGGAAGCTTCTATTTCTCTATCAAGGGTGGACAAGCTATGTGGATAAGGGCATCAAGTAGACCAGAAAGGAAAGAATGTACATTCTTAGACCTACACTTAACTACGGTAGCTGGTGGCTCAGCTAACCTGAATTATTGTCTTTATTCAACAGTTTTCCTTTAGAAAGTGTTTTTTTTTCTCTGGTTATCAGATAGTGAGTGTCACAGATGATGTCTTCCTGTTTATTTTACAGTTGCTGCTGCTTCTAACTGCCCAAGAATGGACTTTGTCCCCTTTGTTCTCTTCTTTTCTTTCTTCCTCCTTTCATGTTCACCCTTCCCAAATTTCTTGTCAGACATTCTTCCCATAACACTTTTCTTTCTCAGTTTCCCATCAATTGGCCCCATCCTCACAATATAGTAAGCCTGAAAGCTGTTCTATATCAAAGCTTCTGGTTCTCCTAAATGCCATGAACTCCTGTTAATACCCAGAGCACAGACAAGCTGATCTGTGTTTGAAATTGAACCTGTGTTAAAATTTAAAACTTATGTTTAATTATTTTAAAAAGCTTTTTAACTTTATTGTCTGAAGCTTATATGTCATTAGAAATTGTTTCTGTTCAGGCTGGCAACCCCTCATGTCTCATCCAGACATGCTAGTTCTCAGTCTCCGGGTCAAGAGGACTTTACTCCTCTCCCTTCAATCAATGAGCGCTTGGCCTTTCTCCGTCCCTCCCGGGAGCTGCTGGAATACTACCGCAAGAAGATTGCTGACTTTGATGAGGAACATGAGGATTTGGTAAAAAGGCTGGAGAGGTACAAAGAAACATATGATGAGCAGGTTAGGAAAAGAGTTTTTTAATTATAATGGACAAAGTATCCTTACACTAACTTAATATTTTTCTTTAGTTGAAAGCACAGATGGTCTTAAGATTTACCAGTAATGAGACAGAATTGAGCTGGGAAGAAGTAGATTTCAGGGTTTCATTGTAAAATCTAGCTGTCTCTCCTATGTCAAAGCAAAGAGAAACATGCCTGTAGGTTATTCTTCTATTCTTAAGTTAATATAGTTTGGTTATATCTTCACAGTGTTGGTGGTTTCTGGGTTTTGTTTTTTTTAAAAAAAACCTAAAGCCTGAGTTAAGATATTCAGTTCCTATGTTGTCCAACTTCTGTTTCTCTTAGTAAAGAATGAGTGTTCTTTTGTCCAAATTTAATGGACTTTGAGATATGCGTATAACTTGTACTACTGCAGTGGAATTCATAAGCTTGGCCATAGGCTATTAAGCAGTATACTACACAGCAAATAACTGCAAATTTAAAAGAAACTCCAAAACCTAAAAATCTTTGCCTTTTAAGACGAATAAATCTTACCTGTAAATTATTCTGTAATGTTTTACATAATCTGTAAAATAATCTGTAAGATATTCAGTGGTCTGATATGCCTTCCAACACATCTGTCAAGCAGTCATCTTTTAATTGTGAATGACTCTTTGGGAATAGAATGATCACTTCTGAGGTGACTGAGGTCTCTTTTCAAGTACTGGTCATGCTTCAAGCAGCCTGAAACCCCTTAGGAAATATGTGGTGTACAAGTTCCTTTCATTCAACATACGGGAAAAAGAGGGGCAGGTTCCAAAATAGTACCCATGGGAATGATTTTTTTGAAAGGTTTGTTAGTTTTCCACACCAGGTAGAAAATCATTAATGAAACTTGGTAACTAGCCAGATTTCTCACTACTAAACCATATGGATATTTTAATGTTTATTCTTCAGTAAGTTCTTTTAAAAATAAGTGCTATTGCAGAGGCTTTGCTACGTTTTTGTTGGTCAGAGTTGCCATACCTGTGCCACTCCATCTGCCAGTGCAGAAATGCAAGCACTAGAAACTGGAGACTCTAGGTTAGGCCTTATTTGACTGTTGTGTAGTGACAGTGATTCTCAGGGCTCTGAACTCCCTCTTGAAACACTTTTTAATAAATTTTCCAACATTGCCCTCATCTGGTCAAACTTTGTAAGAGAATAAAATAATTTGAACTGACAGTTGTTTTATACCAGTTACAGTCTCAGCGCGCAAGCAGTTTGAAGTTTGTAAGTGTTGCCCAATGCTCTGTATTGTTTCAAGTACCTCGTTCTCTCCACCTAGCACAAATTGCAATGGGAAATACATCAGCGAGAAGAGGAGATTGCAGAGTTGCAAAAGGCTTTGAGTGATATGCAAGTCTACCTCTTCCAGGAGAGGGAACATGTCCTTCGTCTTTACTCGGAGAATGATCGGCTGAAAATCAGGTGTGCTGTCTGAGGTGGTGGGCTGGGCCACTGGCTGTAGCAATTACATGTATAATGTTCTAGTTCTATCCAGATCTGGAGTCTTCAGAGGAGCAATTATGCCACACTTTCCAGGGAGGGCTTCTATGAAATCATACTAATCTTGGAGGTGGAATGCAATCTGTTGGGCTGCTAAATGTTTCCACTCATTCCTCCTATTCCAGTAGTAGAAGGAAGAGCAGAAGTTGATCATAGATCCAGATTTGAATTGTGAGTTACCAGTTTGAATGTGGTGGTTCCAATTTAAATAGACTGTGGTGGGTTGACCTTGGCTGGACACCAGTGCCCACCAAGCTGTTCTATCACTCCCCTCAGGTGGGCAGGAGAGGAAAAAAATATGTAAAGTCTCATGGGCTGAGTTAAGGATAGGGAAGTCACTCACCAATTGCCATCATGGGCAAAACAGACTTGACTTGGGAAAAAAATTTATTGATAGTCAAATGGGAGTAGGACAATGAGAAATAAAAACAAATCTTAAAACACTTCCTCCCTGTTCCCTTCTTCCCAGGCTCAACTTAACTTCTGAATTTTCTGCCTCTTACCCCTGAGTGGCACAGGGTGACAGGGCGTGGGCAGATGCGGTCAGTTCATCATATGTTGTCTCTGCTGCTTCTCTCCCCTTGCTCTCTTCTGCTCCAGCTTGGGGTCCCCCCATGGGAGGCAGTCCTCCACAAACTTACCAATGTGAGTCATCCCCATGGGCTGCAGTTCTTCATTAACTGCTCCAGTGTGGGTTCCTTCCACAGGGTGCACTCCTTCAGGAACAGACTGCTTCAGTGTGTGTCCCCCAGGGGGTCACAGGTCCTGCCAGCAAGCCTGCTCCAGGCAACCTGCTCCAGCGTAGCTTTCTCTCTTCACCTCCATTGGGGTCACAGGTTCTGCCAGGAGCTGGCTCCAGCATGGGTTTTCTGTGGAATCACAGCCTCTTTTGGGCATCCACCTGCTCTGATGTGGGGTCCTCCACTGGCTGCAGGTGGGTGTCTGCTCCACCATGGACCTCCCTGGGCTGCAGGGGCACAGCCTCCCTCACCATGGTCTTCACCAGGGGCTGCAGGGGAATCTCTGTTCCGGTGCCTGAGGCACCTCCTCCCCTTCCTTCATTGACCTTGGTGTCTGCAGGGTTGTTTCTCTCGCATATTCTGACTCGTACCTTTCAGCTGCTGCTGTTCAGCAGATTTTTCCCCTTCTTAAATATGTTATCACAGAGGTGCTACCTCCAATGCTGATGGGCTCAGCCTTGGCCAGTGGTGGGCCCGTCTTGGAGCTGGCTGGCACTGGCTCTGTTGGACATAGGGGGGGAAGCCTCTGACATATTCTCACAGAAGCCACCCCTGTAGCCCCCCTGCTACCAGAACCTTGCCACACAAACCCAATACACAGACCTTGTACCTGCCTGGCAAAACTTATTTCCTTGGCCCTAAAAACATTTAAGCTCAAACAGAAAATACAGACCAAAGCAAAGTTTCCCCTCACTCTGACATCATGTTGACAGCTGCTCCTTTTTAATGCTATTTTGTTGGTGAACTGGAATATAACCTGCTGTACTAGCTGCGAAGGACAAAGGAGTTACCCACCTACTTCAGAAGATTTGTAGGTGATAATATCAAGTTTTCTCTTAAAGTTTTAAGAACTTAAGTCAAAACGTTGCTGTGCTCACTTCTCAAAAGTCTGATACAGCCCTTGAAAACAATGGACACTTAAAATCTGTTGAAGTATCTGAAAGGATTTTATAACTAGAGTTTATAACACTGCAGTGCAAATTCTTTACCACCATGTGTTATGGCTGTATCAACTGATGTAGTATTGGCATATTTGAAAAGAGGCATGCTTTCCAATGCCAGTGGAATTGGTTTTCTTACTATATCAGCAACATCAGCAATATCTTTGGGAGTTTGTTTTTAAAGCAGTATTGTCAAGAACTGCAACAGTTTGGAAAACTTGTAAGCATTGATGTGTAAACTAGAAGTACAGTCACAATGTCTTGATGTGCCTTAAAAATAGCAATGTGCTGACTACTTTCTTTGAATTCCAGGGAACTGGAGGATAGAAAAAAAATTCAACATCTCCTGGATTTAGTGGGAACAGACAAAGGAGAAGTTACATATTTTCACAAGGAGCCTCCACATAAGGCAAGTTTCATTGTTCTGTAGAATTCTGCTTTTGATTGTAACATGAAGATCTGTATCCCAGAGGCTACCACAGACCAGATCTGTCCTGCAAGTCAAAAGTTGCTAAATGAGCCCAAAGCAGGAGGGATCTGTAGCTACATTGGGTTTTAGTATAGCTGCTGACAGATAAGTAGGAACAAGCACACTGGAAGTAGGTCCTCTTAGCATCAGTCCCCTTCTACCTTCAAAACATACCTCCGGATCAGCCTCCTAAATGTCAGATAGGGGTCTGATGCCATCCGGCAAATGGTCATTGAGAAGTTGGAGGGAACACCACAAAGAGAAAAAGAAAAACTGGAAGTGCAGAAAATTACAAGGTGTGGTGTTTGAAGATCAGCTATCTCAGAGTGCCTGTCTCTTAGGGCCTCAGTAAAGAATAAAGCAGTGTTGAGGTTGCTGCAGCAGTTTCCTGGGCAGGAGGCTTCAGAAGAGCCATCGCCTTTAGGCAATATTGTATTGCCTATTTCAGAAATAATGTTAAATTGATTAAATGGCAGTGCATATGAAGTGCAGTGTAGGTGAACCTACTTAAAGTCACAAATCAGGAAAAATTTGGACATACGGAGCCTATGATACAATATAAGATTTGTCCTGGAATAAAGTGTGGGAAAAGGCTGAAATATGCTGCATTGTATGAGGTTACTCTGCACTGCTCAAGCAGTCCAAATATTCTGCAGAAGCTTTAAAATTCCCTGATACACGGTAGCTCAAGAATTAGGCCTATTATATAACACTGACCTCAACATAAGCATTGGGGTTTATAACATGCTCCCTCATGGCCTCCTGTTCTTAAGTGGATTTTAGCTCAACAGTTGAGTTGTTTTATCGGTTAGCTTTCATCCCAGGCTTGTTCAGTAGCTTGAGTGAATGTGCTGATAAATCAAGCTTTGTGTTTCTCTGTCTTACTAAGGCAAGAAGGAGTATGAAAGGAGGATATAACATAATCTTCATCTTTACCTTCCTCTTCTTCTCTCTGTCCCAAAATGCTCCTTTTCCTGCTGAGGGTGCTGATTTTCATCCTAATGAAGCCACCAAAGGCAGGATTACTTTCCAGTTGTTTCAGTGGAAAAAAAAAAAAAATGAGGCAGACATGGCAAAACTCAGCCATGATAAAGGAAACTTTTCAACATGGACATTACACTTGTGAATGTCTTCCTTAACTTGTGGTAGAAGTAAGGTAATGCTGTTCTTTTGGATATCTCATTTTACTCTTTAAGATTTGTTCTTGACCATTGGAAATCTGGAGAAGTCAGATGTTCAGTGCAGATATCTAATCTTGTTTCTATAGGTTACTGTTCTGCAAAGGCCAGCTAAACCCAGAGAGTCACAAGAAGGAAATGATACTTCTAGAACAGGTACCACACCAAGCTGATTAACAGCAGCTCAGCTATTGATACTTGTTTTTCTGTGTGTTTGTGTCCAGTATACCAAAATAATTCCTGACTGTGAATACTTTGGTATACCTCCACTGAGTTCCCTAAATGTATCCATGTGTACATACATATACAAGCAGTACTCTTGGCTTCCCTTCAAAATCTTTTAAAATAACCTGAGCTGGTTCTCATGTCTGTGACCTGCTCAGCTAAGGAAGAGGCTGGTATGACTGTGGAATGGCTAATCTAGAACTATGCAGGAACCAAGGGGACAGGCACCCTTAGCCACAGCTGTTCCAAGGTGTGGGGTTCTGCCTGCCTTGAGTGTAGACAGTAGTGTGTGTCTATATGCCGACTTACTGATTTTCTCTTTTGAAAGAACTGTCTCTTCCAAATTGACTGAAATTAGCTAACAAGCTCAAAACTCATTCTAGGCATGATGCTTGTGCAGCCGTGTCATCTGCCTATTCGTAATTTATTTAAGAAAATGTGTTGAGTTTGCTTTCTACCTATGCCAAGAGAATTAGCAGGTTGTCTAAATATTGTGGTGTGATAGTGTGGGGTAAGTTCTGAAATTATTCTTACAGCTAGCCCTCAGAAGTTCTTGTGACTGTAGCAGTGGCAAGTTTTTTCCTGCTCTTGTAGGCCTGCCAGAACATACGATATTTCTTGCTTGGAAAGGTACTGCAGGTAGATTGGAAAACCCTTTCCTACTTTTAATTTTCTGCAGTAGGCACCAAGAGGAGCACTTTAAAAGCAGCAGCAAAAGGAGAGAAACCAGAAAGTCCTGAGAGGTATCAGAGAGATAATCAAGCACTTCTACTTCAGGTAAAAACATCTGCTAACTGATGGACAGAATTCCTGGCTGTCCAGGAAATTATGATAGACAGATATGCTCTCTGCTTAGATAAGATGTAAACATACCAATGTTATTAGTCCCCACTTCTTACTATGGATTCCTACTTCCCATCAGTTTACTTAGCTGTTTCTTTGCAACGAAAGCAAGCTTAAAGAACTTGGGTCTGATTCTGGAAACTTTACATACACAGATGTTCCAGTAACATCAGCTGGAATGTGTTGCCCTTAAATACAGAATGTGTAATTGACATTATCTCCCATAGCTTGATTGTGGCTATGAATTTACATTAAACCCACAGAAGATCCACAGGGTTGGGTACTTTGTGGAAGTCTGACAAAAGCTATGTGTCTGAGGTAGAATTAGGCAGCCCCATTAAGATGCACTAATGCAATGAAATGTTCCCTTTGCTTAGACTTCAGTGGAAAATAGGGTATAGACAGCATGACAGAATGAAAGATAAAATGTACAGAATCATGAATTGAGGAAGATAACAGAAGCTGTATGTTAAGTATGAGGAAAGGTGAGTCAGGAAGAGCAAATTAAAGACCAAACTTGAACAGCAAATAGTTTATTTTTTTAATTGTTGTTGTTATTATTACTACCATTATTATTACTATTTGTTCAAGGGCAGTGGTGACTGACCTAGTGGCCAGTTAGCTGTCTAACAACATTTATTCTGGAGCAAAAGCATCGTACAAAATTGTCGTAAAAATAAGCGATCTTAATACACACCAAGTTTTTTCAGGTAGTTTCTTACATATAGGCCAGATGCACATTTTTCAATTACTTGTTCCAGTTTGTCTCCCTACGTTCCCTAGATCAAGATTCTCTGCATCCCTCTTGGTCATTATCTTGTTTACATTTAGTAATTCATTCTGGTTGAGTGATTTCTTTTGTTCAAGGTATTTTTATATCACCATTTCATTGGAAGATGGTAGCATAGGAACAGACGTGTCTGCATATTTCACAGGATTTGTCACATCCTGTGTTCAATTTAAATCTTTTCAATATCTTTGATCTGTTGTTGCTGCTTACGATATGCCTGTCTTGCCTATAGCAGCATTTTTTTTTTCTTAATGTTTTGGTTGTCTGAAATAGTTAGCAATAAAACAAAAATAAAAATTTTAGCAATTAGAACTTTCAAAGGTGTTATCAGGTAGAGTCTTTGATCTGAATCTTGGAATTTGAGAGACTTGTAAGAACAGGAGCAAAGCTGCTGTGAGGTCTTAATCAGTAATGTCTTTGCTTACTCAGGTGGAGGCCCTGCAAGCTCAGATAGAAGAACAGACTCGATTATCCAAGGAACAGGTTGAGGCACTACTAGAGGACAGGCGGATTCACATGGAGGAAACCCAGGTCCAGCATCAGAGGGACCAGGACAAGATCAAAGCTATAACAGATAAGTGAGTGTGAGAGAGTGACCATGATGTAGTCATGAGATGAGGGGGGAACAATAGATATATTTTGGCTTTCAGTATGTTGCTTCCTGCAGCAGGCAGAAAAGCAAATTATGCAGCCATCTGTTTGGTAGTGTGTGTGGAAGAAGATGAATAGAGTAACCTACATATTGAAAATCTTGTTTCACTTTGGAAGAATATCACTTCTTTCATTAGATGAGAAGAACTGAACTCATTAGGAAAGCACCTACCTTTTTCTTCCATGCTTCTTCCAACTTGCAATAGTGACTGAGGAAATAAGCGTAGGAACTAGGAAAGTAGTTAACTCCACTGGGATCCCTTTTTACAGACTCAGTAAGACCCAAAATCTCTTATATGAGAGTACCCGTGACTTTCTCCAGCTCAAGTTTGATGCCCGAGCCAATGAGAAAGCATGGATGGCAGAGAAGGACAGTCTGTTGAGGAAACTTGACAAAGATCTGGATCAGCTTATCATCAGAGGGTCAAGAAAAGAGAAGCCGCAGAGATATACCAAGAAGATGCTTCAAGCAGATGATGGAGCTTGGAAACTCCACAGCAAAGAAATAAAGGTATATTTTTTGTCTTAGGTGGAGGCTCTTTGACAGTTTTTGACTGGAAAATTGCAAGCATCTGGCTTTTGTCAAGATAGGCAGTAGCTAGCAGCTGTTTCAAAACTGTACTGGTTTGCCGTAAGTGACATTGTTGGTTCTAATGTAAAAAAAAAAACCCTCCTTCAAAATTGGTATTGTATGCAAAGTTCAGATAAAATGCATAGTTAGGATTTAGGTAGCACATTACTGTCAGTTTCTTTTATGCCCAGAACAAATCCATACTCCTGCAAGCCACATTATACGTGAGCCAACAGTTCTTAACCTGCTTGTTGCACATGCCTTTATTTTAGTGTAAATGCTCTCAGTTAATGAACTTGGAACGCAGTGTCAACATCTTCGCTGCTGGTGAGGGAGAGCAAATCCGCTCAACTGATGTCCCCAGCTCTTCTACAGTAGCTAGGGTTTTTCTTCCACTTCTAGTATACCTCCAGTGGGAATCTGGGAGATCTGAAGTGGGCAAACAGGCAATAGGGAATTGTTTTCATCTACCACTGAATGCAGATGTTTCTGAAATGCACTACTGGGCAAGCAGCTGTGAAAAGGGGAGTTACAGCATTAGTTGAATATTATTTTTAAAGGGAAGAGGAGAGAGTTCTTTAACTGATCATGAGCAGTCATGCAGAACTGATAATCTAATTAAGGTTTTGGTAATGGAAGTGGTGTTAGAATATTGTCCTTACCCAGTTATTTAATTAGCTGTAGCTCCAGTTGCTAATTTTTATTTACCTGTTGTATTGTCATTCTATTCACACTTGCTTTTCCAGAGCAGGGGAAATTTTGTGAGCACTGGCCTTTGAGTTGATTCTTTCTGTTCCTCCTATGTCCCAGTCACTGCAAGAACAGCTACTGCAGGAACAGCACCTGTCAAACATGTATAGAGAGCAGTGTGTCACCCTGGAAGGTGAGCTGGCTAGGATTCGTGAGGAGAGAGATGTTGGCAGAGAACTCGCTAAGGTAATTAGTCTGTAATCATCTGCTAGCTATGTGATGATCTTGCAGCCTTTATTTTGTATACCCTATTGAGTTTTCGTCTCCATAGGAACGCTCAGAAAAGATGGGGAAGCGCCTGAAGCTCATGACTCAGCGATACGAGGCCTTGGAAAAACGTCGTAATATGGAAGTGGAAGGCTTCAAGAATGACATTAAACAGTTTCGGCAGAAGCTGAAAGATGTAGAGAAGCAGCTTTTTATGGTAATAGCTAAGCATTTTTGAGGCAGACTATTATGAACTTACCCTAAAGAGGTGTATTCTCAGTATTTAAATAAATTATTTCCCTAAACTTAAGGAAGTAACTTATTTCCTAAGTGCTCCTTTATATATTAATATTTGACAAAACTTGCCCTCTTGTGTATTTTATGAGGCAAAAAAGATTTATCTTTTTTAATCAGTCAGGCATCAAGCTTGTCAGGAACTGTCCTGATTATATATTAGCTGTGTATTTTTGTTGCAGCTCTAAAAGTTCTTCTCTGATGCCTGTAGCTCACTTAGCTGGTTTAAAATTACGAGGCGATAAAGAAGTTTGTTTCAAAAGTATATCCTGCAGAGAAAATTGATTGGTATTCTTTCTGGGGGCCATAGTGTTTGGTTTTGGTCCAGTAAGAGGTAGATCATTGACTTAAGTATTGTGAATATTCTATTTATTCCTTTGTTAATATCTCATTTGTAACTCTGCAGAAATCACTATGGAAACAATGGCTAGAAGTTGAAGCTGTGTACTCTGTAGTAACTTCCAGATGTGTTGATGAATATCAGAACAGCTTAGAAGGGAAGCCACAGCCTTGATGGTGCTTGGAGTTTAGGATGAAATAATTATCTAGGATATGCCTGGGAGGATGATCTAGGCATAGCTTTTGTCCAACTGACTCTCAAGAGTCCAGCAGTGCCACAGTTTCACTTTCTTTCTGTACTTTAGGCACACGGTTCAGTTTATTTAGGCTAACGCATTTGTCTCCGCTAAAGGCTTTGATTATTTTTTTGTGATTATTTTTTGCTGAGTTATGGGTTTTAAACTATATTATTTAAGGACTAAACAGCATATCTGAATAGTTGGAAAATTGCCTGTGATACCTTTACTACAGAGCTGTGTGTTTTGCAACTGCATGTGCTCTTAATTATAGTCTTAATTTCTTTACACTTTTAACCACAAGAGGGCAGAGGAACAAAACACTTGCTAGAAGTTTTCAGTGTGATCTTTAAATCCTTCTCATCACTTGAGGTCAAAAAAGTACAGGTGACTGAATTTCCTGATTTGCATACTAAAATCTTTCACCAGGAACTACATGATGACAATGAGACACCCTAAAGGGTCGAGAGAAAAGAGGTTGAGAGCAGCTTCCAAGGCTGTGCTGTTCTATTATTGAAAGTGACTGGGCTGGCATGCTATCCCGTTCCAGGGTGACGGGAAATGGCAGCCCTGGCTAGCTTGCCATCAGGAATTCTGAGTAGCCAGCAGCCTTTGTTCAGCTCCGTGTGGGCCACATGGTCTGGCCTGAGACTAGGAGTTGTACTTGAACTGTTCTTGAATTGTATGCAGTTCAGAAGGCAGCTGGTTGGACACAGTAGTTAAACCACTTCTCGTTCTAGTAGCAAAAGATGACAAAATGTCATCATATCAGGTGAGGTACTTAGAAGTAGATAAAAGTTAGCTGATAAATATTTTAACTTGCCTCTTTTTGTGGGTCTCCTAAATAATACAGGAATTAAAAAGGAGTCATCAGGTTATGGGTAAACTTGATTATAATGTCCAGATTTCTTCCTTGCCAGTAATATAACACCATAATGTATCAAAGCTTTGTTCTTTATTTTTGGTTCTGGAGCACTTTTCTATTTGTGATATGCATTAGCCTAGTGACACTAGCTTAAGCATCCCCTTTGCTAGCTACAGTGGGTCTCCTTTACTCTATTCTAAATTGTGTTCCATATAGCTTTGCTTTTCTTAATCTGTTTGTTTTTTTTTTTTTTTTTCTCCTTTTTAGGTGACTCTGAATATTGGACCAGACCAGGATCTTGCAATTCTACATGAGGTCTGCCAAGGAAACAGACTTACCCGTAAAATTCAAGGAGAACTAAAAAACTTAAAATCAAAAATCTATAGCTTAGAGAATGAACTACGTGTCTGCTGATGCTGAGGTATTAGCTAGCATCCTAGTTTTAGGAATGGGACATTGCTAGGCTGGAATAGTCGTGTGAGAGCAGCTCCTGCCTGTCTGTTTCTTGGCATCCAATGACAGAAGGCTTGAGGAAATCTGTAGTTAATGTCATAACGCTGTACGTGAGCCATTCCTAATGTGCCAGATTATATTGCTGTTTCAGCTGAGAGATGACACCTGATAAGACTGACATAGAAAGCACATGATGACTGATATATCAGCAATATTCTTATGACTTCATCTTACATTCATATCTGTGGTAGGGGTCAGTGTATACTGGCCTTCACCTTTATTTGAAGTAAATTATAAACCGCATATATGTTATAATAAAGTTAATCATGGAAGGATCTAGTTTAAGATCTGATTTGGCTGACGTTTTCCTATGTGAGAAGCAGCTTTTAAAATGGTTTAAATGATTACTGTTTTGGTGCCTAGGCACTTCAGGATGTAACTGGAAATTTTCTTTGAAAAAGACCATGTATAGAAAGTATGTACTAAAGCGTATTACATCTGACTCTCCCCTTGACAGTATAACTATTTTAAAATGGCTTCCCTTTGCTTGGTTCTAACCTAATTGGGACAAACCTGGCTGATTTAATATGGTGGAAAAAGATAACCTGTTACAGAACTCATCTGCAGGAACCAGCAACATCTACACTTGTTTTGAATGTCTGGGAGGAAGAAATTAGTACACTATCAAATGTCATCTTCTTACCCCCTTCCTCCCAATTTATCTTAACACACAGAGGAAGCCCATAATAAAAGGCATCTCGTATCTTTCTTAACTATCATATTATCTATCTTTGTAGCTTTAAAGAATATCATGGTTAGGTACTAACAAGTCATGGTTAACTTCTGCTACAGCAGTTGTTGCTACTGAACTGAGGTGCCTAGTTGCTACATGAAGTGTAGGTGTTCATGCTTTTACTATAGCATCACCAAATTTTGTCCACCTTGTAAACTGAGAGCAGATCTCTGCTGGAAGAGGGATTTCAGTGCCTCTGCTTCCTACCATACCTTTCCTACCTTGTTAAATGTGACAGAAACAGAATAATACCTTTCCAAAGTATACACCTATAAACTATCAGCACTTCCTTTCCCACTGAAAAGAACTTAGTGTGTGAAAGCAGGCAGTTTCTTTTGGATGTGATAGTGGCCATGGAGATCCTCATTCAGAGTTTAGGAGAGGTAGATATGCAAAAGATGGTTTTGTGCTGTCCGGATTTGGTGAAAGAATTGTTTTTATAGCACCAGCTAAAGCAATGCAGGAGGGGAAATTCCCTTAAGTCATCATGGCCCACTTCAATTGTGTATCCTTTTTGTGGCAATTGTGCTGTCCCTTATGGTCCTGTACTGTGGCTTTTGTATGGTTCTTGAGGTCAAGTTCATCACAAACAGACTTTAGTGTGGGTGGCTGATGGTCTGTACCTAGATGCTCAACTACTACTACAAGAGGCTGTTTTAAAGTGTGCTGCACTGTTTAGTTTAGCTGAAAATGTGGACCTGTTCAGGCACTGATTCATGAATAACTTGGGTGTTGATGCTCTGAGGTCTGTTGAGGAAGGTAGTGAAATAATGCTACCCATCAGTTAACCTCACTCTTTCTTAGTTGACTAGTACTTTCTCACATAAGTCCAGCTAATTAAAGTGAGTTTGTATGTGAAATAACATACTACTGGTTTGAAGATATCAAAGTTATCGCAGGTCCTGGAAGACTGCTTCTGAAAATTACTATGTAATGAAGTATTAACCACTTATTCCGCAGGTTCTCATCTGTTTAAATTCAGCTGATAGCGAAACTAGCAAAACGGTCTCCTGAACCTATAGAAATAAATGAGTTTCTGTTTATTTTCAACTATTCCAAGCTAAAGAATTGCTTATGAAATTATTTTCCTCACTTGAAAGCCATGAAGGATAAAGACTGTAGGCTTTGTCTTTCAGGTTTGTAAGACTGGGAGGAAGTATTGGGGGAAGAAGGATGTAAATGTTTAATTTCCTGTTTTCTTTACTAGTATTATTGCTTGAAAGACTGAATAGAATAAAATTACAACATTCCTAATATATCTGCTGGTGTGTCAAAGTGCAGCTTGACCTTTGTTCTCAATTTGACACTAGGCTATGAACCCTTCCTATTTGAGGGGGTGGGGAAATTACAGTAGTGCTGATCTGTAAAGCCATTTTATTTGTCCAAGGGCAGGAAGTGCGAAGTATTGTACTTGCTCTTTCTGTGTGATGTCATGGGAAATGCTGCTTTATGTTGCCAAAACAAATGTGGACCTTGAAGCTAAGAACTGCTTTAGAAAGCCAGGTGCTTTCTACCACTGATAACTACCCTTTAAGATGTCAGTGAAGAATTATTGGCATTTCCAAAAGGATTTCCTGGGAAAGGTTCCAAGACCTATATTAGTCAATTTTCTTCCTCAATTTTTGGGTCGAAACCAAAAAATGGCATTTACTCCAAAGACTAATGAGCTTTTTTTGCTAATTTAAGTTAGTAATGTGTGACTTGTATCATTCAATACAACTAAATGCCAGGTTATCTATGTAGGGGCACCGAATCTGATAGATCTCCAGAATGGCTGATTCTAGGAATACGGAAACTATCCTACAGAGGATTAAAGGTTACAACTGGGCAAATGTTCTTATTGTAAGCCAAGATACTAAAATGTTTCTTGGATAAATAGGAGAAGAATGACCAGTAGGGGAAAACATTATTGTTGTGTGGCCTTATTTAGGTAAGGAAGGAATGCATACATTTCAGAAGGGATGTTGAAATATTGGGTAAGGCCCAGAACCACAGATGATTCAGCAGAAGGGAGAAGGTTGTGCAAGAGCTCGTAGTGTATTACATTAAGAAGACTGATTAATATGCATGTATCCTGAAGATGAAAGACCTACCGAAGGCGCCTCTATCCCAGCAGAGAAAGGCTGAGCAAGAACCAGTAGCCTGAGCCTGAAATTAATAAAGCACACATTTTTAAGTGGAAGATTGAACTTTTTCCCTCATTATAACAAACTATTTGTGGTGGTAACAAATTCTCCATCTCTATTTTCAAATCAGAAAATGACTGCACCTCTGGAGAAGGTAGCTGGTTTTAATAAGTTACTGGGTTTGACATATTAGAACTTAATGAAATATAATAATGTGAACTAACAGGAAATCATTTAATGGTTCCTTCTGGCTTTAAACCTATGATTTATTTATATGCAATATTTGTAGTTTTTCAGCACTCGTGCAGTTGCCTTACAGGAATGTATGCTGTGCCAGCTCACAGCAAGGTTACACAAGGTAAAAAAAAACAAAGCAAAACAAAAAATCCCTCATGATCTTCCTATACCACAACTTTCAGTAATTCCCAAATGAATTGACGCTGTGAGTGCCCTTAGAAAGGCGGATTAACAGTAGCCACAGTTCTGATGGCTGTCAGAATAAATCTAAATAATAGTATAGTATGTATTTCTATGCAGTGCCTGTACTTAAATTGCTTATATAAGTAATAGTATCAATTCAGAAACATGCACATTTTGCCAGTATGGATGGACTCTGTGGGCAGCCTAATATTCTGGAATTATAGTGTCTCTGTAGGTCAGGAAGTAATTCTTTAAGGATCAGATACTTTTTTTGAGACTAGTTGGGAGCAATGTCCCTGTGTACTTTGTTAGATCTGTTCATATTCATGAAAAACTATTGTTTAGACTTTTACTTACAGCTCACAAACACACTTAATTCTGATACACTAGAATGTGTTTGTGCCTGCTCAGTCAAAATCCTAATCAAGAAGTCTCATTTGTCATCATTCAAAGTAGCATTATTTGTATATAAGGGAAATTATAAGATTCTTCTTTCTAATTTTTCCACAATATTTTGGTTTTATATTCACAAATTGCTTTGAATAGTAAGAAATATCCCTTTTACTCCCTAAACAGTTATTCTTAAATTTGCCAAGTTTAGCTGTAGAAGTATACACGCGTTTTAGCATGTGGACTGGGATTATCTACAGTGTAGAAGTCTTGAGAGGTGAAAGCTGCCATGATCCTTTTGGCTGCTGTATTCACAGGGTTTAGGCACAGAGAACAAGGTTTGTTTTGATTCTTATGTTGCATCAAAAGTTTAGGACTTTGTCTGAAACAGGCCGTTGGATGTAACTGGAATTTAACCCACTAGCAGGAAACCTTTCTGCTATGACTGAAGCATTTGAGAAGAGTGAGGTGGACATCTAATATTCCCTATTTAGCACCAAATGAACTGTTTGGAGAAAGGGCATCTCTGAATGTGAGTTAGAGTAGCTGTCCTTCAAGTAAGCTCCAAAAATACAGCTTTATAAACAGAGCCCTCAGTGGGGTTAACCATTCACTTACACTGACTAAATTACATGTTTTAAGAATTATGATGCTGTTGGATTGGGGACAGATTACATATGTGTAAATACAGATTATTTGCTTTTTATTTGGGAAGGCCAGAGAGGCTTTCAATACAGAAGTGTTTCAATGTTCAAGCAAGGCAATGATTAACGACGCAGGCATGAAGGGTTTTATTGTTGAAATGGATTCGATTTGAATAAAAAACTCTGGATTTACCAGGGTGAAGCATATCCAGGATGTGCTGGATTCTCCTGTCTTGATTCAGAGATCAAATCGCTTTTCACTGTAAACATTCATCTCGGTATAGAGTCATTTCTAAACTGTCCAATAAGGTTTTTTTCCTCTTCATTGCTAGCTTGAGAGGATAGAAGTTTGCTCGGTGCTGTGACAGGGAGAGCCTGGTCAGTTTTCCGTTCTGTACTGTCCCCAGTAAAATGACTGCGGCACATCTTTGGAACTTCTCGAAGCATAAGGATGATGAGCACAGTCAGGTACTTCGAAGACAGGAGGAGGAAGAAGTTTAGGCAAGACTTTAGTTAGATTTGAAAACATGGATTTCCAGAATTATCAAGCATGTATCTACATCTTTTGTTATAGGGACAGTCTAAAGCCTGTAAAGTCTTTTGTAAGTTCTCAAAGTATACAAACTTTTTTCTGGAAGTGTAAACATGTGCTCTAGGTATTGAGAGAGTGTTCTGAACTGCAGAAAGCAATTTGGGCTAATTGATGGGGCAGGACCTGCAATAAGGGGGTGCTGCTAGAGGTACCGGGTGAAGTTCATGTAAAAATGTGTCCTCTCTACGGCTGAGAAGGAAGGGCAGCCGTCGCTATGTAATTTTATCTGGACATCTAGGGCTTGAGACCTATGAAAAGAGAGTTACGCAGTGAAAAGACAGAATCAGGAATGAGGCTTTCCACCCAGGCAGGTGGGCGGTAGGAGGGCAGTGGTGCTGTCAGCCAGGACTGCGGGCGCAGAGCACTGGAAGGGAGAGAAAGTCTCAGACCCCCCGCCTGGGCCAGATCACACCAGCGTAACTGTATTGGTAAAAATCCCATTGCTGATTAATAGAAGCATGTTCGCATAAACCCACTGTGTCAGCACAACTTAATTTTTGCTGCTAGTTTGTTAATTATGGAACCACGCGGATCCGCCTACTGTGATGTTGAAGTGCAGTGTTGAGAGGGGTTCTTCTGGGATAGCTCCACCAGCAATGCCTCTTGGAGCCCAGTCCATTCCTGAGGAGCCAAAAAGAGAAATAATGGGGAGCTGTGTCTTCAGAGACCGCCTTTTCCTCTTAGAAACACTTCTGCCTTTGAGCCGTTTCGATTATGAGCGTTGAGATGAAGTCATTGTTTGTGCTTCAGAGCACGGCTGAGGTCAGGAAGAGGGGTGTGGAGCCACGGGGGTGGTGAAAGTTAGGGACAGTTGGGTGTCTTTGGTGTGGAGCTGGCAATTAGTGTTAAAATTAAAATTACACGAGAAGAACGAAGGGAAGGAGCAAGCGGCAGATAATTGAACCTTTGGGGAGCCTACAGAGAAAGGATGTTGGCACAGAGCTAGAAGTAATTTACAGAACAGAGAAACAGTTGTTAGATAACTAGAAGGAAAAGCGTAACAAGGAGAGGCAGGGATGCACAGAGATGGAGCTAGAGAGGGGAGCCGGGAGGAACAGGAGACGTACGTCGTTAAGTGCTGCACTTGTATCAAAGCCTGCTTTTATCATGAGGAAACACAGCCAAAATAGAAAATAAACAGAAAAGCCTGAACAAAGGAAAAAAAAAAATACCCCAGTTGGCTCATCTGGCACATGATGGCCGAGCTGCCCGAGTGTGGCACAGCCCCTCTCCCTGCCTGCCCCGCGCCCAGCTCGCCGCTGCTGCCACCGCCCCGGCCCGCGGGGTCACGGCGAGCTGGTTACTTCCCAGCGACGGTGAGAGATGTGGGGGTCTGGGCACGCGCTTGTGTGACTTGAGAAATCGGGAACAGGAGACCTGGGATAAAAAACTTTACGTGAGGCGTTTTTAAAATATTACTCGAAGTGGTAGTCTTATTCCTGTGCATCAGCGCTTTCTGCAATAAGTGGTCCAAAATAAGTTACTTAAGTTCAGTGTAAAGCTATTCAAATTCCTCATCCCACTATTTATTACACGTCCAGATTAATTTTATTCCTTAATGTTGTTCTACTGTAACTATAACAGATAGGCACCAACATGCCACGCTTATTTCCTTAAGCTTTTTCTCTAGAGAAAAGAGCTTTTCTGTATCTCCATTATAGCATTCTTCCATCAGGAAAAATATTGTTTCTTTACAAGTCAACAATACTACTGTTAGCCTATAATTTCACTTTCCCCTCCCCTCCGTTTTAGTACCATGTTCACAAGAGAAAAATGTGCTTATTTTAATATGCAACAAAGTTTCAGCAAACAATAGTTGTCATTTTTCAAACTTAAGGCTGTTCATTTAAGAAATGCAGACAACTTCCTACTAAGAATAGATCATTCAAATGGTAAATAGTTTAATTCGGACCTGTATTTATTATACATTTTTCCTACTATTTTCTCTCTTCTTTTTCTGAACAAATACGAAAAACTTGGTTTATTTCTCTCGTGCTGCAAAAAACCCAAACCAACACACCATCAAGGAACTTCAGCAGCGAGTGCCATACCCTCCTATCAGATTTCTGCCTTACAGTGACTAAAC